CTGCATGATGCTGTGAAAGTAGGGATCTGAAAATTAATGTATCAGAGATAAGGTACTTGTGTTTGAGAAGGAAGACTGAGTGAATGATTGCAAGTTATACATAAATGGTGAAACATCAGAGTAAGTACATCAATTTGGGTCAAATGGATGGGAAAATATTAAGTCACGATAGTACTAGTAATAGAAAGGTAGTGGTTAGAATATGGTTTCTTCTGAGGAATGAATGTCAAAAGAAGTGAAATTTTCAGTGTATGAGCATGTTTCTGGCCACTTTGTTATGTGTAAGTGACAGTTTAGTATGTCAGGAGAAACATAAAAGGGAGTTGAATGCAGTGGGAATGGATTACTTAAGAAGTGTGGGCGATAAAACAAGAAGTGGTTGGTTCAAGAATAAATAGGTGCTGAAGGAATGTGGACTGAATACATAGTCACTGACCAGAATAGAAGGAATATGTTGACATTGCTTTCTCTTAGAAATAATGAATGACAATTAAATGACAAAATAAATATATAAAGAGGGAATGGGTTGAAAGGAAGAGGAAGACCAAGAAAATACTGATTAGATGAAGTTAATGAGACCCTAAAAAGAGAGACGTGAGAAGTTTAAAGAATGTTATGTGTCCATGGTGGAAACAAGGATGGCTTATGAGGATAGAAAGAATGAAGAAGCATAATCAATGTTGTTGGGTATAAACTCTATTTCCTTTATTATATCACCTGCCTTTAATTTCTTTGGCTTACTACTTCTTAGTTTTTCTTATCCTAAAATAGAATAGCATGATGGACATGAATATATGTGTATCTGTTAACATCTAGTTTTATTTTCCTTTCCTTTGTCAATATCCCCACACAAGTATATCCCTGCCAACAGAGCACATGATGTCATGCAGCTGAGAATCAAGTGGATTCTCATCTTGAGGTGCCACAAGCTTTGTTTGACAGGAAAATACATCTGCTGCTCCGGAAGTGATCAGCAGGGAAATGACCTTTTGGCCCTGAATATTAATAGGTATCATATCATATTGTCCCAGAAATTGTGCCATCTCATTTTTGCCACCATCCCTCCATTTGCAGAGGGCTGAGAGATGTGAGCTTCATTGTGTATTATCTGTACATAACACAAATTGCACTATTCTGGAGAGAAGTGATATAAAGCTGGAAGCAGTAAAAAATGAGCTCAATCTAGATAGTGCATAGATACAATGAAAGCCCAGGAAAATCAAATGTTAAGGAACTATTCAGAAGTTTTCCCTTGTCGGGTGGGCTTTTAAAAAGAGGAGGGTTGGTCTTATTTTGATTCCTTTTTGTTCCTCTTTGAGCTCTTTCCCTGGAGTTAGTTGAAAGGCAGCTAAAAAAAGAAGTTTTGACCCACAGAAATCTAGTCTTAAGGTCAGGAATTTCTGGTCTTTCAGGTCTTCCAATGATGCATTCATTGCCATTGTAACCGAGTCCATCCATCTTGCTGCTGGTTATCCTCTTCTCTTTCCTTCTACTTTCCCAGCATTAGAGCTTTCTCCAGAGAGCTGGGTCTTTGCCTAATGTGTCTGGAGTAGGGTAATTTGAGCCTGATAATTTGTGCTTCAAATGAGAACTTGGGGTTATTTGTTTGGTTGATCCATCGATTTGTTTTTGGCTGTCCATGGTATTTTCAGGAGTTTTCTCCAACACCAAAGTTCAAAGTTTTGTCTTGCTTCTTCAAAGTCCAACTTTCACTTCCATAGAATGTCATAGGGAATACCATGGGTTGGATGACTCTGATCTTTGTAGGTATAGACACATCACAACATCTGAATATATTTTCCAAGGCCTTCATGGCTGCCCTACCAAGTGCTAGTCTGCGGCGCATTTCTTGACTGCTTGTTCCTTTACTGTTGATGGTTGATCCTAAAAGGCAGAAGCCATCTACCACTTCGACATCTTCACTATCAACGTAATGAATTAGTGATAATTCTTTGGAGGAAAGTCTTTAGGACAGGGTTTTTAATTCTGGTCAAGCTAGAGATGGAAGGAGGATTGCCATTTGCCTTCTCCTGCATAAACTAAGATAGAAAAGGATTTCCCTGGGGAGAAAAGGTTGGTGGCAGCATTATTGAGGCAACTCTTCCCGGGAGCTGTGGGGTAGCACAATAGGGTTGTGGATGTAGAGCCTCCTCATGGGAGCCAGTGATGTGCAATCCATCTCATCTGATGTGTCTATGCTCCATTATTGTCTGGTTCTTGGAATATTTTTTCCCAGTTGTCCTCCTCTTTGTCTTGATGAGGACTCTTGAGACAGGTCCATGTGTATCTTATTTGCTAGGCTGAGTTGAAATATTCTAGAAAACGAGACATAAAAGGCAGCCATGTTTCCAGTATTTATTTTTTTACTTTAAGTTGCTCTCTGATTTCTTAAGTTCTGAGTTTATCTTAAGTTTTGGCTGGGAGGGTCCTACATTAAGCAAAGTAAGACACTGGCTTCTAGCAGCTGATTTGGGATATTATAAAAAGGCAAGTGAATAGTTGCCATGAAAAAAAAAGTATTAATTATTTATCATTCTCGTGCTTTAATGTTCATGGAGAAACACTTTTGAGTTTTTCTGCTGTAGGTGCCAAAATAACTTGCTTTTGGGTACTATCCATGTATATGTGACCATACTTGAAATTCCTTTTCTTTATTTTATCATTTTGCATGTTCCCTTTCAGAAACAGGCTTTCCCTGGATGGCTCAGAACAGGCTAGAATCATACAAAATTATGAAACAATAAAAATGTATTTTAAAACATTAACATATATAACATTAAAAAACAGACGTGGCAGTCCAAATAAAATGTCTCTAAACAGCGGCATGTTAAAAATCAATATGTAGATTCAAATCCCGGGAACGTCAAAACATCTTTGCCGGGCACCAAAAAGACAATAAAGCAAGGATGGGGTAGGAGTTTATAACTGAGAAAGTCATCTTCTGAGCAGCTACTTGTATAACCTCAGCAAAGGAAGCCAGTCAGAACAGCAGGGGCATTGGCAGGCTATGATCAAAAAAGTCAAGATGGTAGGCACATTATAGGTAGTCCTTGTTTAGCAACTGCCTCATACAGTGACTGTTTGCAGTTACAAAGTGATTAAAAAGTAACTTTGTGACCAGTCCTTGCATTTATGACCTTCGCGGGTCTGTAAAGCAAAGGAAAGCTGAAGTAAGATCATAAGCACAGTCGTGATTTCATTTAGCAACCACCTTGCTTAACGACTGAGTTGCCAGTCCCAATTGTGGTCACTAAACAAGGACTACCCATCGTGCAATCAAAGCTCCACCTGCTTTTTATGGGCATCACAAGGTAACAGCATGGCTATGTAGTTTGTTTGGCAACTATATTAAAATAGTTTGCTATTGCTTTTCTTATTCTCAGATTTATTTCTCAGGAATACATACAGAGGCACTCTGTATGTACCCCCACTCCCTGCCTTTACTTACAGATCCTGCCCCATTCAGAGCCCTACAGACTGCCACTCCCATCATTCCTATTATGGTGATGATTAGGGCTGTAGTCTCCTGGGGTGGGGTAAAAAAAAAACCGTATGACTGCATGATTGAGACCCTGCCTCCCTTTTAGGTGTATTGCATTGCAAGTCTGGATAACACCAAATTATAGATCAGATGGGGAAAAGTGCTTATTGATCAGACCGGATAAGAGTGGCTGCCTTCACTTCACCTACTGAACTAGGTTAGTTAAAGACCACAGATGCATTTGCACAGCTGCTCACCTGTATGTGGAGGAGAAAGAGCGGGGCTTAACATGTACTGCAAGCCAGTCCATTGGTCAGTGGGTGGCTCAGTGAACTGTGCAAACCCCAGGAAGGTTTAATTCAGTAAGCAGGTTAAACATATTACAGAAATATGACGACTAGGTTCACACATAGCACTAAGCCATTCTATATATTCGGAAGTGAGATGCTCTAAGCCCACCTTTTGTGAACCCAGCCAGCAGAAGCTAATTGAGCAAACCTCAGTTCCCAAAACAACCCTCCCCTCACTCAAATCCCTGTTATCTGGAGGAAGTGGCGGCGGACTCTCTTGTTTCCAGGCTAACCCCGGCTGGGCTGAAAGCAGACGCTTGGGCGGCTCAGAGCAACTTGGCTGCTCCTCCTCGCTTCAGGCTCCGCACTAACTTGCCTGAGCGCTGAAGACCGGACCTCGAACTTCAGCGGGCTTGGCTTCCCCCCTCAGTCCTAGGCCGCGGGGGAGCGGGGCGCGCTTTGCTCGAGAGACCGCGTCGGGGGGCAGCGGGGCCCCGGCTGGCTGGCACAGCCGCCTCGGCGAGCCGACAACGAGGAACGGCGGCCGGGAGGGCAGCCCGGGCGGGGAC